ATTTCCCCTGTACACCAAGGATAATTGGTGCAGCTCCTATTAACCTCTGTGGCTTTGGTACTTAAGTGTCATGTGCAAGCATCACCTTGGTGTGGCTATATGAAGGTGTCATAGTTTTACCCTGGCTGGCAGCAAAAACAACAATCGCTTGCTCACCCTCCCCCCTTTCACCTCCTGGGGATGGGGGAGAGAATTAGAGGGGTAAAGGGAAAAGAGACTCATGGGCTGAGATAAGAACAATTTAATAACTAAACTACAATAATATTGAAAATCATAATAATGATGATGATAATAGTAATATATATACACATATACAAATGAGTGATACTGCTCACCACCCGATGACCAAGGCTCAGCCCATTCCTGGCTAACAATCCCAGAGCATGGAGAGTCCCGAAACCACAATCCCAGAAAAGGAGATAAAAGCCCGAGTGTCTGAGACCGAGATGACCCCAAGAGAGGGGGGACCCAGAGGGAGACAACCCAGAGCAAGAGAGAGAACTTTCAGACAGAGCCTCATCTATATACTGGGCATGACATGCATGATATGGAATATACCATTGTCCAATTTTTGTCTCAATCCTAAAGCTAAGGTCGAATCCTACACTAGTAATTGGGGCTGTGCTCCCTCCCAGCTTCTCCTGCACCTGCAGACACTGGCACAGAGAAGCTGAAAAGTCCTTGACTGTCCTGGCAGCCACTATAAACATCAGTATGTTACCAGCCTTCTCCTCAGCACAATTCCAAGAAGAGCCTCTTACTAGCTACTGTGAAGAAAGTTAACTCTGTCCCAGCCAAAACCAGAACAGAAGGAGTGGTTTTTTAGAGTGGAGAGCTTCCTGGCTCCTTTTCTTGTATCAACTCTCTTTGTGCTGCACCAACCCAACCTTCAAGATCAAAATCCCAGGAATCCATGCTATTAGCAAGCTGTAGTTCATCCTTTCGGTGGCACCAGGGGCACTGTCAGGGGTGCCAGGAGCTGACACCGCAGCTGGCAGGGCAGGCCTGGGGGCAGCAGCCAGGCACAACTGGGAGTGCAGGTTAGCAGATGAGGTCACGGTGAGGAGACGGCCAGGCCCAGTGACAGGGACCACGGCCAGACACAGCCCAGTGACTGCCAGTCAGTCCTCAGGCATGAAGTTGGACTCAGACCAGGCTGGGCCATCAGCCTGCAGGTCAGGGTCTGGCTTGGTGAGGTTCATGGCAGTCACAGCTGCAACGCGATGGCAGACAAGCGCACTGGGGTTTAGCTCAGGCAGGGACTGAGGTCCATGGCCTGGGCTGCAATGGGGCCCGAGGGCAGGTGCGAATGGGAAAGGCTTCAGGTGAGGCTGGTCAGGGCCAGCGAGGTCACTCCTGCCCCAGCGCTCTGATGGCTGGTCCCCTCCAGAGGGATGTGTCCTCCCACCCCACAGAGATCTGGGCTCGGATGGGACTTGCTGAAGGGTGATTTAATTGCTGTGGTGTGTAGGGGACACAGAGGCAGAGCAGGGACAGGAAAATGGGAAAGGGACATAGCACCCCAGGAGGGGTTCACTCAGGTGCTTGGGTTTAGGCAGGGGGGCACTGTGGGAGGGTCAGAGCCCAGCACCAGGCCAGTCCCACGGGAGGGCGAGGCCTTGCCTAGCCATGGGCCGGGCTCTGGGTGCTGGCTTAGGGCTTGCTTTGGCCCAAGCAAACCGGCAGGGTAGGGTGCTTCTGGGGCCAGCTGCTGCCGTGGGCAGAGGGCATGGGCCCCAGGTGGCACTGGTCAGGGTCAGGCCTGTCAGTGCACTCACTGCCCTGTCCGGCCTGTCTTAAGGGGAAATTGTTCTGCACCATTTCTGGCTGGTATATATGCAGCTATTTTATGAGGTTGAAACCTTTCCTTCCTTGGGGGGGGAAGGAAAGGTTGAAACCTTTCCTTCCCCCCAAGGAAACTCGTTGCTAGCATTAGTAAGTCACTGTCATCAGCTATATTTAAATACTTTTCACATGAACTATTTTTAGTAAGTCCAAATATGAGAATTAATTTCCAGATGCATCATGAACAGTGAGGTGTCAATAGACAGGCTGGTACCTTTTAGAATACCAGTCTAAAAGTAAATTGTTTTTTCTTGTACTCATCTTTTTGCCAAGTCTTGACACCAGATCTACAGAGCCAAACAACGTGAATTAATAAATTCTCAGTTCTCTGCAGCAACCAGAGACAACAGTGACTGCATTAGCATAGTTTCTCTGCTGCTGGTTTCTCATGCCAAGCCCTGCTATCAACATATTGCATTGTTCTCTTTGCTCTCAACTGTTGTCTACCAGTAGACAGGACACTTGATTTCAGGAGGGGGATGTTTTATAATGAACATCTATTAGGATGGGTTGGAATTACCTGTTAGCATAGCCTTTCTTTACAAGCAGTCCTGAATACTAGCTTGAATACTAGCTTTATCTGATGATTTGTATAATCTTTTTCTTCTTTTTACCATAACATCTGAGAACCACATATGCATTTAATGTATTTATCCACAGAATTCCCTGTGAATAAGGGGAGTACTATTATCCATACTACAAATATGGGAAATTAGTGTGAGGCCTGAACAGAATGAACAATTTAGCCAAGCTCCAGACAGGAAATCTGTAGCACAGCTAGAAATTGAAACCTGACTCTTATCCAAGCATATCTTGTCTACAAGGCCATCTCTCATCTGGCTGGACTGGTCTCTAGAAAAAGGAATTATTTCCTACAGCAGAGTCACTGCTGTATTAACTGTAGCAGTCTGAAAATGGAAATAGCTGCTCATTCACATAGGCAAGCACATCCCAAAGCTGTGCAGTCCTGAGCATGCTGAAGTGGGGCTAAGACAGTCCAGTCCCCAGTGAAGAAAAATAACTCTATCCCAGCCAAAACTAGCACAGTACCCCAAATCCCTGCCTAGGAACACGGTTGTGTGACAAGAGGGGGCTGAATCAGCTCCTTAAGGAGCCTAAATCCTAAAAAGATTTTGAGGCAGTCTGTGAGAGAATTATCTGGTAGAGCTGCCCGATGAGTTCATGTGAGAATTACATAATGGTTTTACTACAAACTCAGCCATTTTTGCATAGGTTAAGCCCCTGTCCTTGTCCTGGAATCAAAGAACCATTTTCACTTGGCATTTTCACTTCACATTCACTTACGCAGTTCAACATCCAGTTAAGGGGCAGTAATTTCCAAACTCATTCCAATAAGATGGTGCCCTTTGGCACACAGTGATTTTCTTTCAGTGTACCTCCGTTCATTGGCTCTTAACATTACAAGTATAAGCTGATTAATTTTAATACTGGCAACATCTTTGAACTTCATCCAAATTCTCGTGTGATCTCTCATTTAAACGGAGTAATTAAAGTAATTTGGATTTATTGAGACACACAGGAGGGACACTGTACAAATATTTTTATATGAGTTGCCAGCACCTCTTGTAATACGTTAATTTGGGAGACTTCAGGTCTTAACTTTTTATTTTTTCCCTTACGCTGCCACCACAGAGTGATATTTAAACAGCTTCTACAAGCTAAGGCTTTGAGTTATCTCCAAATTGACAGCTGCAGGCTGGGAAGTGTGAATGAAAATCTGTCTGTGCTGCTGATGGCCAGAAAGTTCCAGAATAAGTTCCAAAATGCAGTAGCAATGAGAAAATCTTTCTCTCCCCACATTCCAAGCTAGCCTGATTAGTTTCTTCAGCTGTCATGCTTGTGATTTCTAAGCATAAGTTTGCATGCACTGCTGTGATTTTATTAGTTTCATGTCATGCTTTTGGTCTACAACAAAGAGCTTTGGATGACTTGGTATTGAGAACTGTCTTTCTCTAGCACAGACTTGGGAGTCTCTGTAAATTAGTCCAGCACTTGATAATATTGGATTATATCCCAGTATCTGAAAGCCTTGAAAGCAGGTTAATTATACAGAATATTCCAGTAGCAATTGACTGTGGTAATAAATTTTTTTTTTCCTTAAAAAATATGTTGCTACATAGTGGTCACAGCATGCATTTGTCTTGTTACCCTAGTGGGCTACAAAGGGAAATTAGAAGTGTGGATAAAACTTCAAGCAGGTGAAAGTGAACAGTTTCTGGTTTTGATAAAGTGACTTGAAGCTTAGGCTGCATTCCATCTTGACACTTCACAGAAGCCAGTCACTATGGTAGCAAACTGACAAAGTCAGACTAATTAGCAGACTATTGATTTTGATGGCTGATCAGGTCAGTGTTTGTCTCAAAATTCAGAACAATTTCTTGTTGTCTGACCCCTCTTCTATCATGACCAGATGACCGATATTCTTTCTGGTTTTGCAGTGAGGCCTGTTTTGCAGACATAATGTGAATTATGAAATCTTGTCTAGGAAGGCAGAACGTAGAGGGAGTTGGTATTTAAACAAAGTGGTAAGAAACTTTTTTGCTATCACCAAGTTGATTGAATTGCCCCTGGAAAGTGGGGTAATGATAAAATGATGCATTTGGAAGAGGTATGACAGAAGAGAGGAAACTCTTCCCAGGCCAAATAGAGAGGCAGAATGAGTGTAGCAGTCAGCAGGGCAAGCAGCAAGGACTCAGGAACACTATGGATATGCAGAGCTGGTAAGGAACTGACTTCTAATGCCACCTGTAGAGCTCTTTAAGTCATCAGTTGGGAATTGCCAGGGACAGGGAGCTGCTAGGACAGCTTATTCTTCTGGAAGTAGGTCCAGGAATGCACCCTTCTCTCAGTAGGCCTATGGGTTCCTTTCATAGCTTCCCAAAAGGATCTAACAATGTCCCATGTTTTATCTAAGATACTGCCATGAACATAGCCGGCAGGCATACTAGTCATCTTTGCAGCAGCAGTCTTCATATTCTGCAAATTAAAATTCCTTGAGTGCCTCCTGTTTAAGTCTATATATTAAAAGTCTTTGAATATTCATATTTTTTGCTTGAAATCATAGAGGTTTTATACCTATTGATTTAAAATGTGCGTTTTCACTTTTACTCACATTAAAGGCTGCTGTGTAAAGTCTGCTTTTTACATCTTTCTGATATTATGAGCACCATAAACCTTCTTAGACTTCAAGGTACAGGCTTCATTCCAACAGCTGCTATTGGTAGGAAATTGTGCTGATAAAGAGGAACAGTGAAGTTGTAGTTAATTCCTATACTGAAACGCAGTATCTCTTCCAGAGCTATATATATCGGTCTGTTGAAGCATGCTGTCTGTGTGTGTCCCTATACCTACAGGAGAATAGACCGTTTGTCATTGTTTCATAAAGGTAACACTTAAAAGGGTTTTTAAAATTTTACTTCTGAGTGGACTAACTCCTCCTTAATTTATGAAAGGAAGGAAATTATTCCCATTCTAAATTCTTCTCTTGGCTGGGTGTTCCCGTCCTGGTTACCTTCACTGAGACTGCTAATTCTCACTAGTTAAGCCCCAAGGCCAACATTTTGTTTCACACCCTCTTGAGCTACACTCGCTAAAATGCCCTGCAGATTCCATCTCATCCGATGCTTTACACAAAGTGGTTTCCAGCAAGAGGAACTTAACTTGCTAAGTGTAGGCAGAACTGTTAAGTGAATTTGCAACCTAAACTGTTTTCTTGCACTTCAGGGGACTGCAAATACACTCAAGAACCTTTAACTTCTGAAAGTATGCACACGGTAAAAAGTTGCTGACAACCTACAAATGGGAAGTATCATTAATGCAGATGACACCTGGAATATCCAAACATCTAGATGGCTTTAAAACATAAGACTAGCGCAGCTGCAATGAAATTTATTAGAAGCATGTGACAAGGCTTTCAGGTCCAGTCACAAGAATACTGCTACCATCTGTGAGTTCAGTAATTTGAAAGAAGGTAAAATACAGGTTGGCTACTGAGTGTCCATTTAATGCAGCCTCAGAAAAAGACAGGTTTGATCCTTCCATGGATTGAGTTTCCCGTATGATCTCAGCTGAGATAGCACATACAGTCTTATCATTTCTGTTCAAGTAAGATGGTTTACAGTAGATACTGTGAACCTTTCTAATAAGCAGTGGCCTACTTACATTTGAGGTACTTAGAAAAGGTAATTACATTATTTTTCTGCAATTTTGTTGTGTTGGGCTAAATGTCAGGAAAAGAGAAGAACTTATTTTTTCAGCACATGACATGGCACTGCAAAAAATTTAGTCTGAAGATCAGTGATCAGTATAATGAGATTTGCAAGTAATTTAGATGCAAAATACGCTTTTGAAAGTTATGGTCAGTTTGGTTTAAGAAAGATGCAATGGTCCTCTCATGCGGCCTCTGAATTAATGGAACCAAAGCACACTGTATTAAATTCTTAGAATTATCTCAAATTCTACAATTTTACAATATTTACCAGTTTACTGACTTCAAAAATTAATAAAAAAATTACTATGCATTTCTCCATGTGTTCAAAAATGTGCCAAATACACTATGTCTGAATATTAACCGTAGATCTATTCACACTTAAATTCCTGAAGAGGAATTTTATAAGGACTGAAATGACTGCAGAAGTTGCAAGGATAAGGAGAGATGAGAGCTGAATTCTGATAAGATTTAATTAATAAGCTCCAATCCTATAAATATTACTCTCTCTAACTTTTACTGCTCCAGGCTGCAAAATCAGTCCATATGTTTGTGGGATCTGGTTTTAAATGATAACAGATCATTACTAATACTATGTGGTAACCTCTGTTTAACTACTACAGCTCTGATTTATATCAGATTTATCCTTCATGTTGGGGAAGGGGAATAAAAAAATGCCAATACAGAGATGTTATGTAGAGATTGCACTTCAGACAAGGCTCCATTAAGATCTTTTGTCTTCCTGCTGGTTCACCTTTAAAGACCATGGGAAGTTTGTTCTTCCTTGCTAGATCTCACCCTCCAAGATCCTAAAGTAAAACAGAATTTACCTTTGCTTTCCAAATCTTTTTTACCACTAGCTATAAACAAACATCCTAAAATTAAATATACATCATCGCTTCCAGAAGACTTTTTTAAAAAAAGCTTTATTAAACATACTCTAGAACACACTTAAAGACTTCTGCAACATTGAAGGAATCCTCTACTCACATAGTAACTGAATGGTAACAGAACTGGCCACTGGTAACTGAAAAAATGTGTAGAAAACTCTCTCAGTGACAACTTAAAACGGGGTTAGCATCCGCAT